GAGGAAGAGGAGCCCTACGAGATCGGCGACGAGACCTACCAGCCCGACCAGGTCAAGAAGATCCTGGCGCACATGCTCAACAACATCAAGATGGGCGAGACCAAGGTGCCCATTCTCGGCACGTACCAGAACACTTCGGCCGGTTCCGACATTGTTGAGTACCTGCAGAAGAACATGAACACCAGCAGCGTCAGCTATGCCGAGCGTATTGGCCAGGATCTGGTCACGCACGGCTTCCTGCGGCTCGTCGGCAATGTCGGAAACACGTTCGCCAACAGCTCCAAGATGTCGTACCAGTGGCGACCCAAGGCCTTCCAGCTGAGCGGCGTGCCCGAGAAGAAGGCTGCGCTGGGCCGTACGTTCTCGCTGAACGCTGCCGGCAACGACCCAAATTCCATCGACTCGCCCGTCATCGGCACCGTCAACGAGTACCTCGAGAAGTGGAACATGCTGGGCACAGCCTTTCCCAACGAGACGCCCAGCGACCGCATGCGGCGCGAGGCGCGCGAGGCTGACGAGCGCTACAAGGCTGGTGTACGGCGGTTGGACGAGCTCCGCTGCGAGCTGGAGGAAGCCATCTTTGACCACCTGCGCTTTCTGGAGCGCTGCGAGCTCGATCGCCTCAAGGCTATCAAGACAGTGGTTCTCGATTTCTCGGGCACGATCAGCAACGTGATCCCCAGCCTACAGTCGACCGTCGACAAGCTCGTGCTGTACCAGGAGACGGTCCAGCCTCTCGGCGATCTGCGCTACCTGCTCGAGAACTACCGCACCGGCAGCTTTATTCCCAAGGTCGTCACATACGAAAACTACTACAACCGGGTGGACGAGGATACGTTTGGTGTGGACCTGGAGGCGCGTGCGCGCGCAGACAAGAAGCGTGTGCCCATTGTGGTCACGACACTGCTGACGTACCTCGACCACCACTACCCCGACCTCGAAGGCGACGAGGCGCGGCGCAACGTCTGGCTGATCGAGGTGCCGCTGCACCAGGTGCACAAGCTTCGTGCCAAGGTCAACCACGGCAAGACGTTCTCGCCTGAGATCCTCCAGGAGTTTGATATTCCGACCATTGCCAGCCTGCTCAAGCTCTATCTACGCGAACTTCCCGGTATGTGCCCGCCGCTTTATATATCTTTACATATCCATTTTACCAATCACCTCTTGTTACTAACAACTCGCCCTCTCGCTTTCCAGACTCCCTTGTTTCCTCCCACGTCTACGAGATCATCCGGACCATCTACCAGACGCCGGCCGGTGAGATGCCCGACGATGCACGCCGTGTGCCAGTGCTGCAACAAACGCTCTCGCAGCTGCGCTTGACGAACATTGCGACACTCGATGCGTGCATGAACCATTTTACGCGACTCATCGAGCTGACATCGGCGGACGAGACGTACGTGACTGCACTGGCAACGACCATTGCGCCTTGTGTGCTCCGGCCTCGGGTCGAGAGCTCGCTGACGATGGAGGAGCGCCACGCATACCGGCTGGTGCGCGACCTGTTTGCGCACAAGGACGCCATCTTCTCGGAGCTCAAGCGCCTGTCGGCGCTGACTCACTCGTCATCCATTAGCCGGCCGTCAGGTAACCTAGCTGCCGCTACCGCTCCTGGCGTTGGTGGTGGTCCGGGCAATGGTGGTGTGGGTAACCGGCCGCGCGCCATCAGCACAGACGAGAGCAACCGCAAGGCGCACATGGAGGAGCGCACGCGGGCGCTGCTCGAGAAGGCCAACGGTGGCCGCAGCCGTGCGACGTCACCGGCACCCAGCCCACGCGCCAGCACACACCGGCGGGAGCGCAGCATTGGCGGGCCCGAGACGCGCTTCCCCATCCAGACGAGCCCGACGGCGTCGGGTGAACGCCACCGGCAGAGCATCGGCCCCATCCTGGGTGTCAAGCGCTCGAGCCTCGAGGTGCCTGGTGACGGCATAGCAGCGGCAGGCATTGTTGACCCGTCAACCACGGGAGCCAATGGCGGTGCATCGGGCCTGGAGGCCTCGGCCTTGCCTGCGGATGGCACTTCGTCTGGTTCGCCTGCTGACAAGCGCAGCAACGTGAACCGGAGTAGTGTGCGGTTCGTCGGCGGCCGGCGAATCGTGCCTGTAGCAGCAGGCGGTTCAGCCGGTGCCACTGGCGCCTCCACAGCAGGTGCCGCAGCGCCAGCTTCCGAGTCAGGGAGTGTTGATGAGTCGGGCAGCCACCGGCACTCCCAGTATGCTGTGACGCTGGTGGACCGGCCGATGGACTAGGAAATGTTGAACACGATATGATGCCAGGCGCTTTGTAGGACTGATGAAAGCGGCAGACCATTACGTGGCAGTGCCAGCTTGCGCAGTCTTCACGTCTTTTCTGGACTTGGGTTATTTTTTGACTGATTTGTTTTCGTATTGTTTTTCATGTTTCCTTTTTACTTGCTTTGCGGGATTGACTTTCCGGTATGCCATTTTTGTTTCCCTCCATCTTGTGCTTCTTTTGTCTTTTGCACTTGCGCTTTTGTACTAGACAAGCCGCGTTTTGTTTATGGAAAGCAATGGTAATAAAAGCTGCTTTGTTACCTTATGATGATCGTTCTGGGCTGCATGAGCTGTGTCTGGAGTGCCCTGTCACAGCGATACATGTACAGTGTATTTCTCTGCATGTACACATCAATGCCGAAACAGGTCGCGTGGCTGACCAGCTGTCACTTTTTCCACTGTCTGTCAGGCCGACCGAAACCAATCCCAGAGCGCCACATGCTCACGGCTGAAAGATGGAGCGGTTGACCCCAGTGCGCCCATTGGTGTTGACCCGTGCTTTTCGGCTGCGAATATGGGTCAGCTCATTGGAGGCGGCGCGGCAGCGGTGAGCATGCATACTTTGAAAAGTGTCCTGCCGATGCCAAGGTGACGAGTCACGGGTAGTAAGATTACTTTTGGTGGAGCTCAGAAGTACATCATGTTGTTCGTTACCTTAACGGTCCTTTGTTACTTTATTGAAAGGCTGATCAAAGGTCGTGTTCCCGTGGGCGAGTTGGACTCTGGAGAGCCCAGACCTTACAGCATTTCCTTCGTCTAGGTGCAATTTAGCGCTCATCTGTCTCGGCACATCCTTTTTCTTCCTCTTTTCTGATTTTTCTCCTTTTGGTCTCATGTGGCACTGTCGATCAGGTATACCTGGAGCGAACCGTATTAGTGAAATTGCGGTTTTCTATCACGGGCTCCGTTTTGCGTTTTACGAAGGACGTTTTATGTTTTGAATACGGGCAGTGGATTTTCTGTTCTTTTTTTCTTCTTCCCCTTATCACCTGTCGCCTGGTATCTCGTTCCCTCCCGCTGTATCCTTCTCTATCCCCCGTTTTCCCGTTCTGTTTCACAAAGAATCATTTCCCGCATTCTGCCTGAGAGCTGTCAGTGCCCTTTGCGCGGCCTCTGAACCGATTTGTTGGCTCTGTGTACTTCATCCCAATACCGACTTTTGAATTTCTTGTTCGTATTTTAGGCGACTTTACCTATTTGGCTGTTCGGATACGCACAAAACCGAGCCACAGTCCATCTGAATCGTGTGTGCCAGTGGTACCCGCAGATGAATGGAGGAAGTACTCGGCTCATTTGCTTCTGCCCTCTCCATTTCGCTTCATTTCCTCTCTCTATTGTTCTTAAAGAGCCACAGAGACCAAGGCGTGCTTGGCGTGTTAGTCGGAAGGAACCAGACCCGCCCCAGACCAGGAAAACAAACCGAAAAGGGGGAGCACGGGGAGACGACGAAAACATCGATGGGCCTCTGATGGCCTCGATCTGAAGGGTCCCTTCGTCCCCTGTGATGTCCTGGCCCATTTCCCTAGCTCCAGTGGCGGTGGCCCATTTGGCCAGTCAAGGACTAGTGCAAATTCTCACCAGGTCCAGGCCTGATGCGACATGGGGAGCGTCCAAGGCGAGGACAACGCCAAAAGCACACTGACCTCATTACTCCGTACACAAGCACCCCCTGGTCCGAGCTGTGTCGCGAAAGATGTCACAACTTTCTTGCCTTGCCGTTTCTGTTCCTTTCTAAAAAATACTCTAAATCCAGCTGCAGAGATCCACCTACAACGGAGCAAGTCCCTTCAACTACGTCGCGAAAGGACAGCTCGAGCAGAACAGGGAAACGAACCAGAATGTTGTCCACAAACGATAGCGTTCTCCGGCGCCCCCTTTTGCCTTGATTTGTGTAGTATTGAAACCCTTCGACTGCATCGTGAAATAGAGACATGACGATGCAATGGATAAGTGAGCATGGTGCGTAGTACATTATGACGAAGTACGACGAAATCGAGCACTTCAACGTGTACTTTGAGCGCCTTTGAAGTTCGAAATTGTCCGCACGTTCGATGCACCTACTCTGTACTTTATAGAACGTCCTGTTCGCTCTTTCCTCACGCCGACTCCATTTCGCTTTTGACTGTCCGGACGTACTTTCCGGAGCAATTTGACCGTGACCATCCTTGCTACTTTTCGTTCAGGTCAATTGGGGCCCACTCGCTCTTTCCGTTTAAATGATTTCACTTTGTTTTTTTTGTTTCTGTCTCGTTGGGGTGTCATTGGCCCTTTTCGTTTTACAACCGCCCCACCCACCAGCCACTCACTGCCATATGATGACGTATTTTGCGCGGGCGGGCTGTGGCCAAGCTCATCAGGCACCCTCATTCCTTCCCAGGCGGAGGGTCCATCATCGCACTTGCCCTGACCTGGCGGGATGGCGCGCTAGACAAAAAGTTTGCTCGAACTTCTCCGACTGCATCGTTGAAGGAGAAAATAGAAACACGGGAGAAGTTGTACGTTTGTCTAAAGCGGAATAGCGAATGGGAACAGAACAAAGCCCCTGGAACAAGCCAACGAAATGAAAGCGCCCCCTAAAGAGTCCGAAATAGCAGCGACAGACCGGAAGGGTGCCTGATCTAACCTTCCGCTATCATCTTTAGCGACGGCGATCACGTTTAATAAAGACGACGACCGTCAAAGAAAGACCTACGAGTAGTCAAAATGATAGCGCTCGTTGTACGACGCTGCTCCTTGCCAGTTCAAACGGCAGCCTGGGCGGAAGACGGAAGCAAAATCGAATCGAGCAAAGCTGAAGCCAAAAAAAGAACACGAGAGGAAGGACACAACTGGTCGTCAGCCGAACGGCAGTTGTCAGCCCCCGCCTTTACCTTCTTTGGACTTTCTGTTCTGTGGCTCTTTGACAGCTTTGATTGGGCTCGTCTTACGACTCCCGTGTTGCTTTTTCCGGTGTGGCAGTGTGCAAGTGCAAAAAGTGTTGTCTGGAACCTGGAAGGACCTGAAAGGCAGAACAACCAGAGCTTGGAGGTCTCCCCAAGACAGCTCGACGATACCTGAGCAGTTTGCGCGTCGAGTGTGGCCGAGACACAGGGTGACCAAGGACACTAACAACCCGCATGAGCGGTAAGACGGCTCGTGGCTGGACGACGTATGTGTACGGTCTGGCCGTCGCCCAAGCCAGCCGAGCCAGCGAACCAAGCTTCCTCCAAACAAGCTCAGGGAGGCAGCCCTGCAGAGTGACGACGTTGGTAACTTAGGCGATTCCAAGGCAGGAACACAAAACGACAAACTGCTCACAAAGGCACGAGACTGCAGACGGACGCTGGAACGGCACTTGGCCTTGCATACAACTACGATGGACTTTTCCCAAGTCTACTACGTAGTGACGTCGTACCCCTGTCTCACCACCCCTGCTCGCCCTGCCCATGACGCCTCCACGAAGTACGCTTGGACAGAACAGCCATTTTGCAGCTCCACCCAAACAAAACCTAACCAACGCCACTGTAGTGGCATGTGTCGTGTTGACCCACCCCCTGTCCAGTCAGTGACGATGTTTGATTTTTAGAGTGCGTTCCGTCGCAATACGGAGTTCCCTCACACACCCACGAGAATGTCGTAATACGTCGTATGGCTCCATACAGCACATTTTGCAGACGTGACAAGGTACCTATGTACCTGTGACGATCTGTACCTTGTTTTTATTTCTTTGCCCTTTTTTTCGTCTCCAGTCTTCCTTGTCTTGTGTTGGCGTATTCCCTTTTTGGGACAAAGCCTGCGCCCTCCTTCGTCTTGCCGTTCGTTGCTCGACGACGTTGTTTGTGCCCAGTACTTGTCTGAAACTGTCTCCCCAGTCTCTGTCAAGGGTCGCCTCTCACACACTCCCAGACGTTTATATCTTGCCAGTCCCGCCACCTCTGATCCCACGTTTTATTTCTGTTTCTCATTCATTCCATTTTATCATTCACATTCCTCTGTTCTACATTGGTTCACTTCCTTTGGCCAGCCTTTGCGCCTCGTATCACTCTCTCTCTCTGTCACACACACTCTCTCTTTTCTGCCTGACCTACTGTCTTGCGATAATAAGCACAATGGCCCGCACTGGCTTCTTCCACCACATCGGCAGCTTCTTGCTGTTCGCCGCCACCATCCTGCTGCTGGTCACGACCATCTCGGCACCCGTCGTCGACAACATCTCCTTGCTCAAGGTCGACCTGGCCAACGGCACCAGCGAACACCAGTCCGCCATCACCTTTGGCACGTTCGGCTACTGCACCATCCACACCGCCGACGGCCACAATGTCTGCTCGCCCCGCAAGATTGGCTACAACCCTGCTGCGGTTATCCACGATGACGAGCACTTCTCCAACGCCTCGGAAGACTCCACCAAGGCCCTGACCCGCGTCATGGTCTTGCACCCCATTGCCACGGGCGTTGCCTTTATTGCGTTCCTGCTGGCTGTCGGCGCCGGTGTCATCGGCTCGTTCCTTGGCGCGCTCGTCTCACTCGTCGCGTTTCTAATCACCGTTATTGTCCTGATTACCGACTTTGTGCTCTTCCACATTGTCAAGAAGCACGTCAACGACGACCTCCGGGGCGCCTCGGCCAAGTACGGTGTCGGTCTCTGGCTGATCTTGGCCGCCGCCATCGCCCTGCTGATCGGCACCCTGGTTGTCTTCTTCACGTGCTGCAGCGCCCGTCTGCACCGCTCGCGCAACCACTCGAACAAGGTCGACCCGGCCTACGTTGCGCAGCCCCGCCGCCGCCGCTTCTTCTAAGCGCACGGCAGCAGCACCGCCTGCACCCAGCACAGTATAACTTTTTTAAACAAAAAACTCCAATGTTTGTGTTGAAGAGTGGGAGTGTTGACGACAGCTCCATAATGACCGGTGTATGACCAAAAAACGGCTGCTTCGGCAGGCTCACTCACGATCGTTTTGACGAAGTTACAACGCGATATCACTTGATTTTCACTGAAATTCCAAGACGCAATATCCACCATTTTGATTTTTTGCAAACCAATTTCCCCTTTTCGATCTATATGATATCCCATTCCTTTTTTTACTTGCAATTTCTGCAAAGAAACCAATCTGTACCATAATAAGATCAAAGACGTCAATAAACAACCAAATTAATAAATCAACGGTACTAGGATCAATTGCGTGTATGTGACTTGACGTGAGCTTGTGCCTTGACGTAAACACTCACGATGAGATTCTGCAAATCACCCAATATGAGTTTGAATTTTGATACTCTACTAAGGATATTTTTTGCACCTCAGTTGTGATATCATTATACAGTTCTAGCTATTGTTGGCGTGTCTGTTCATCTACGACATACACATGTAGACCTATTTCGACAGATACACGTGTTGATCCATTCTCACGGCTGTCAAGCCTCTGTGGAGTACTCTAGCCACAGCCATTTGCCCTACTTTGCTGCCAACAATGACGTCAGTGGACCGACTTAACGGCCCGTCTGCGATGTCTGCAACCACATCGAAAACGGACTACTCCGAAAACAGGACACAAATTTCAAGGCCTTTCGGTTATGTTGTATCCTTGTCTTCGGATCACGACGAGTTGACGTCAACAGCATTCAGAGTGGCCTACCTGTCGCTCGTGATGCCGATTTCCTGCATCCCTCTGCGGCATCAGGTGCTAGGGACGGAACCCGCTAAAACCACCCTGATCGTCGATGAATGCGCTGAAGAGTATCGCAAGAGAAAGCGATGTCCTCAACACTCCATAATAATAGGAATCACTGCCACTAGTCGTCTTGACTGTTTCCATCTTCGATGCACCTTCCTCAACGACGCCGCGATCCACGTGACTAAACTGGCATCTCAATTCTGTGGCAGCGGCAGACCATGGCAAGCTAATTACGGCGGATAGTCCGTCTTGCGGGTGGCTCCTTCCAGGCAGAGAGACCCTGACTCAGGCCCTGAGCGCCTTTAGAGAGTTAAGGCCCCCAACATCCACCACTGGACAAAGACACCAGCGGGAGCTAATTGATTGCTGAAAGTCGCTATCGGGCAACTGCGAGGCTACAAGCCTTCCCATCGGCGGCTGCCGTCAGCCCCTCAATTGTGCATCATCTGTCGTCGGCCGGTGTTTTGCCAAATCTGTCGACACGCATGCCTGACTTGCGGGTGGTCTTTATCATCTCAACTCCCGCAATCTGCATTCTGCGCCGACACCGACACCGACACTGACGTAGCTCTTACGGTCCACTCCACCACTTGTCAACCACATCGAATCACCACAATGACGGCGTGGCCCTGGCAGCACGTCGCCCGTAGTGGCCGCCATAGTTTGGCAACGCTCCGCCGCAGCCCGCTTGCCGAGATCTCGGGCGCCCTGGGCGACTTGGGCACGCTGCTGCCGCTGATGGCCGCGCTCGCCCTCCAGGGATCCGTGTCGCTGTCGTCAACCCTCGTCTTTTCGGGCCTGTTCAACATGGCCACGGGTCTCTGGTTCGGCATCCCGCTGCCCGTCCAGCCCATGAAGGCCATTGCCGCTGCCGCCATTGCCCAAAACGCCTCGCTGCGCGACACCGTAGCGGCCGGAGCGCTCGTGAGCGGTGTCGTGCTGGTGCTGGCCGTGACGGGCCTGCTGCGCCGTCTCGCCGAGGTCGTGCCGGTGCCGGTCGTCAAGGGCATCCAGGTGGGTGCGGGCTTGTCGCTGGCGCTGTCGGCGGGCGGGCCTTCTTTACTGGGTGGCTTGGGCTGGCTGGACCAACCGTCGGTGCTGGACAACCGGCTGTGGGCGTTGGCGGCGTTTGCCGGTCTGCTCTTGACGCAGCGAATGGCCCCAGTGGGATCCTCCTCCTCCTCCTCGTCGTCCGTCCGTCCGGCCTTTTTGCCGTTCGCCCTCGTTGTGTTTCTACTTGGCTTCGTCTTTGCGCTGCTCGACCACAGCCACCATGCCGGCCACGTGCTCCCCCATTTCGCCTTGTGGACGCCCCGCCTTGTTTTGCCGCATTGGCTGTCGAGCAATGCCTGGGCCATGGCTGTTGCGCAGTTGCCTCTTACGACGCTCAACTCGGTCGTTGCCGTGTCTGCCTTGGCCGATGAGCTGTTCTCATCGTCCGCTCTGCCCCTTCTATCGCTCTCGTCGTCGTCGCCCTTCACACCCGCTACCTCCGTCACGGCGTTCGGCTGCAGCGTCGGCGTAATGAACCTTGTCGGCTGCTGGTTTGGTGCCATGCCCGTCTGCCACGGCGCTGGCGGATTGGCTGCCCAGTACCGATTCGGTGCGCGGAGTGGTGCGAGCGTTATTTTGCTCGGCGCTGCCAAACTGCTGTTGGGCCTGTTTTGGGGCGAAACGTTGTTGGACCTCCTGCGTGCCTTTCCGCGCAGCTTCCTCGGTGTGCTCGTCCTGGCCGCCGGCTTGGAGCTGACAGCCGCGGGTGTGACCCTCAACAAAGGTGGCGATACATCGTACAGCGCCCAGCAGAAACGCGAGCGCTGGACTGTCATGCTTATGACGGCCGCCTGTCTGCTGGCGTTCAAGAATGACGCCGTCGGTTTCGTTGCCGGTCTGCTGTGCCACGGCGCCTACCGTTTGGCAGATGCGCTTGAGGCTCGGCGCAGCCGCCACAACCGTCTCCGTCGCCCAGGTCACCATGATGAATCAAGCACACTTTTGGCTTCATAGACGTTTGAAATATGGGCACGAGAACCAGCACCGGATGACCGAGATTAATGATGCTGAAAAGCGGCACGTAGATATTTATTAAATATATATATCATCATCCTTGTCTTTGGTCTTCTCTTGTACGGTGTATACTTGTACATATGGGATTTTGGTCTTCGCATTTCTTTCATACGCCCCCTTTTTCACGTCCCCTCCTTCTCTCCCAACTCTAGTCGTAGTTCTTGTCATAACAGACAACTCTCCTATGGTGCTCGTAAAGCGTATTGTTGACTGGTTGATGTGAGGAAGAAAGCAGTACAAAGTTCGATACTAGGGTAGGCTAGCTGGATAAGGCCAGTCTATATTTAATTCTTCCTGTGGTCCCAAAGTAGTCTACCTGCGTCATCATCGAGCTGGTCATGA